ATAGATACATAGATACATAGATACATAGATAGATGATAGAGATAGATAGATAGATAGATAGATAGATAGATAGATAGATAGATAGATAGATAGATAGATAGATAGACAGACAGACAGACGGTAGGTAGGTAGGTAGGTAGGTAGGTAGGTAGGTAGGTAGGTAGGTAGGTAGGTAGGTAGGTAGGTAGGTAGCAGAGACGAGCGGTGAGCTTCATGGCCGGTGAGGCAAGCGCAAAAGCCCCGCCGAAGCCCCGGTGCCACGTCCGCCATAGACCGGGACCGGGACCCGCTCTATGGCAGACACGGCGCCAGGAGTTTAAAGCCCGCCAGGGCTTTAAAGTGGTGGCAGGTCCCCGGCGGCATCCGCCATAGAGCAGGACTGGGTCGGGACTTTAAAGTCCTGCTGCCAGGGCCCTGAAGTGGAGGCCTGCTCATCTCGCCGGCTGGCGCATGCACGCTCCATGAGGGAGAAGAGGGCAAGCGCTCAGGTCCTCCCCGGGGAGCAGCTGCGGCGGCTCCTGCGGTCCCCTGGATGAGGAAGCACTCGCTCAGCGGCGGTCGCGGCAGCAGCTCTTTGCACCCGTTGGCCGAGCGAGAGGGGCAGGAAGTTTGGGAAGTGTGGCCTCTTCCCTAGCATGGCCCTCCAACTGCATGGGGCGGGGTCAGGGAGGAAGGTAGGTGGGTGACTGCCACTCTGGGCTCTCCTCCCCCCGCACTCACTCACTTACACACTCACTCCCTCACACACACACACACCGAGTGCACCCAAAAAACCCAGGCGTGCACCTCTGGCCGCACTCAGTCATACCAGTTTCTCGCTTTTGCACTCCACACAGGCAGGCAGGCAGGCAGGCAGCCCCTCCCTCTCTCCCTGCCCCTCGCGGTTCACCTGGTCGAGATCGAGGTCTATCTTGACACGCGCCTGAGGGCCAAAAAGGTAAGCGGAGCGCTGGCCTTCTGGCCAGCGCTCCGCTTACCTTCTGCTCGGGCGGTGGGGAGGACGCTGCATTTTCAGCCCCGAGAGTTTCTTTCCCCCTCCGCCCCGTCCGGGGTGATAGAATCCCAAACCCAGCCAGCTGAGTCAAAGCCCACCGCAGTCACGGCTATTGCTCCGACCGAAGTCTCCAGGAGCGCCGGCTCCTTTGCAAAAAAATTAACCGAGCAGCGGGAGGGAAGGCGGTCCCTTGAGCCTGAAGTTTGCTTGAAGAACTGACTCCTCCCACTCAACATAAGCGTGCTCAACTGCAAGGCATGATTCGCTGCTCCCAGATCAGGAGGTGGGAGAATCATGTGCCTCCTTTGCATATGAAATTTTTTGCTTTTTAACCCTTGCTTAACTCTTAAAAGACGAAAAATTCCTTATGCAAAGGAGGCACATGATTCTCCCGCCTCCTCCTACAGTTAACACTAAGCAGTCTGGCAGCAACTACCTTGG